CCCTTCTTCAGTGCTCGCCAGCAGCGAGCTGCCAGCCCTGGCAGGGGGTCGCCCTCCCCTTATTCGCGCTCCGTGCCCCCCGGCTCTCGTCACGCTGCGTGACCTCCTGCGCAAGCGGGAGCTGACGATGGTGGAGGTGTTCACGAGGGCTGGTACGGGCAGGAGGAAGATGGCGGGAGCAGACTTCATTCACATCATCAAGGCGGTACGTAGGGAACTGAAACGGAACGCGCTGCTGCAGCTCTGCCCTATTTCCCTGGCGTGCCAACCCAGAGTGCTTTCTGTGGAGCTTCAAGAAGGGGCACTTTCTCCTGCAGAGAGCTGCAGGGGTGACAATCTTCTCCCCTCAGACTGACCCTGCGCTGTGTGAAATCCACTCAGAGAATTCTTGTGGAAGAAGGACAATCCCGAAGGATCGAGCTGTGCTCTCTGACCTTGGGTGGCCTTGCAGCTGCAGCTACCCTTCCCCCGTTACGCTGAAAACCCTGCACTTCAGCTGTCAAACCTAACGTCAGAACTTCTCGCCACCATTTGCATGGGTTGGTTTTTTTCAGAAAGCAGTAAATGGCCCTTGGAAAACAAAAGCTCTGTTCAGGTCTTAAATGACCGGACTCCCATTAAAAAAGTGGCACCTTTGTTCTGAGTTTACCCTGAACGTTACAGGGGTACAAGAATCGGTTCTGAGGCAAGCAGCATGATCCCGCCTTCCTCCTGCCAGACCAGGGCTGCCAAAGCGGCAAAGACCTTTCTCTTTCCACAAATTGAACAATCCGAACTGTTTGGATTGGTGGAGAAAGTTTTAGAGGGAGAAGGATAGCAAAGTGGAGCACAGCTTGCTTTGTTATCTCAGCTGAAGGGTGTTCAGATGCTGCAGTGATGGGCGATGTATCAACTGGTAAGATAGCTTTGCAAGTTGGCATTTCTAATGTAAATAATGTACAATAACGACAGGCACACTCGGTTTATGCAGCAAATATTTGGATCTAGCACAAGGAAAGCTGGATTAAAATTCTCTTCAAAAAGGTCATTTGGCAGCCCAGTTTGACAGGTTGGCAGATTGAACGCCCCACTGAGGAAATACTGGGGATCATCCTCTCAGCCTGTGCAAACCGACCCATTCCTACCTCTGATCTTGAGACTCTCAGAAAGGGCACAGGCCTGGCAGAGCTTCCCACAGCCTGGAAGCCCTGCGTGCTGGCTCTCGTCAGCCTTGCTTTTGCCGCTTGTAGCAGCAGCAGCAGTGAAACTGCCCAGAATTTTATTTCCGCAATATGATAAACACATTATTACCACTTTTTTTCTTTTTTTAGGCAGTTTCAAAGGAATAAAATGCAAAAGAAGTTTGCGCGCACAAGGAAGTCAAATGACAACAACTTCTGGCCGGGTCATCCTCTGGACAAGATACGCCTTTACGCCCTGGGCAGGCGGGGCCAGGAGCGCGGGCCCGGGCGTCCTCGCCGCGGCGCGGGGCCTCCAGGCTGCG